CGTTTGAACTAGAAAGAGAGAGTAATTTGAAAGCAGAGGTGAATTCCAATCGAGAAGGTAATGAAGAAATGTTGTTGTTTCACTTCGTTTAGTTTCAGTTAAAAGTTGAAAAGTTAATAGTTGGTTGTAAATTTTTTTTGGGTCTAGTTTAACGCATTGTCGATGTCTATATCTTGTCCACCTGCATTCTGTGACCTGTTACTTTTCATGTGTTCTGTATGCACTGAATGTTTTTGTTTGTTTGTTTGTTCCTAAGGAAGCTCTGTCCAATGAAATGGTATTCTATGGTTTTGTTGCCCGGATTCTACTCATTACTCTAACGAAGTGGTTTCAAGAAGGTTACAATTACGTTGATATGGTATTTAGTCATGTGTGATACCGACTTTAGTGTTAGTGTTAACACGTGCTGACAGTTTTTAAGAAATTTGCAGGTGTGTTTCCATAAAGCGGGCAATAAGCTGGCTAAACCATTACTCCAGCTTTCATTTCCTTCTCACACGACCTGCTCCATGTCACATTCACATATTCAACTCGTGGCTTGACATCCAGGCCTTCCTCGAGGGTCTGGTGTGTGATGTGACTGAAAAGTCTCCTCAGTGTATATCCAATCCATCTCTATTTCCTTGAGCATATATGTTGAGTAGTAGGTTTCCAACTGGTTGACATGCAAAGTTCTTCGTAACTTATCCTCTCTGGCTGGCTATTTGGACTTCAGCATCGAGGAAAGGAGGCAGATGTTGGTGAGAGTCAAAGTCCTTAGTGCCCTGTTGGAAATGGTTTCCATGATTCTATGTAGAAGCACTAGAAGACTCGAGACTAATTCTAAAAATTCGATCGTTTGTACTTGTACGACGTGCTGTAGATCCGCATACTTATTTAAGAATAATGAATGTCTGTTTCATTTTCCCATTGTGATCTTGACTGGCTTTGATATCCTCTTCCATACACCTGTAGTTGAAACGATGCTGCCTGTCCTTGTAAAAGTGTCCATTTGAACTCCTTCCGTCAGCTAGTAAATTTTAGAGTGTTTGTGAAACTAAACATAAATCGTCCACGAAGTCCACACCTGCTAAGCTTTTTGTTGGTTCCACCAATGCCTGTTTTCTTACACCCCACGGTGTGCCATTTGATCCACTCCACTACAGTCAGAAATATCATATATGATATAAGCAACTTTGCCTTCCTCCTTAGTTTGCGATTACTTTCAAGGGACAACTATCATCATCGAATGAGAAGTATGTGGAGTGTAAATAGCAGTTTACTCGTGTGTACTAAACAGTTATGTTGGTACGTGTAAATAACTAACTATACACGACGAATAAAGTTAGAGTAACAACTATGATAAACATGTAAATGGGGAGTGAATTACTCTCAGTGTCCTATTAGTCCAAGTGTTATATGTAACTAGATAGTGGACCATCAGTAATCCGTGTGTCAGAACTTAGATGATGCAAATATTGATTTCGTATGCGCTAATCAGATAACTAACCAATAAAACTTCAGCCCGTTGATTGGTATTCACTAATCAGCTCTATGTTAAATTATACGCCTAATCCATGATACCTTTTGTTGGAAAATTATAGCTGTATATTTGTATTCACAGAAACTCTCAGGTACTAGTTTAGAAATACATGTTTCCAACAATAATGTTTGAGTCTACTGGAATCTGGCAGTTTGCGTGAAAGAAAATGTACCAGGATGTAATTAGTCGTGCAATGCTGTTAACCTCATTCGTGTGGAGATTCAGCGGACCATAGTATAGTAACATACTTTCCTCTGCTGACAATGTTTTTGTCACCTGCACTAGTGTGTTCATTGAGGTGATTTTGAGTTACGCTATTGAAAGGATTTTCCAATGATTATTAATTGTTTTGGAGTGACTTAAATCGGAAGATGAAAGAGCATACCGTAGTGCTAATTGATAATAGCACACATTTGATCGAATTTTGACAATTACAGAATCGTAATTTGAGGATTCACGAGTGCTACTGATAAGGTGTAATGACATGCACTTTAGCCTGCTTTCCAGTATTCTTCCCATAGAACATTTCGAGTGGTCTGCATATTTTGCTGCTGCTGCTGTATGTGTTGTCGTGTTTGCAGTAAACGTAGGTGATTCTATTCAGGTCATTGAGATGCTTTTATTAACTGAGTTGATGAATTCATTCATCCTCAAATAAAATATTAAATCCATCTAGAAATTTTCTTTAGTTTGGTTTGTAAGAATTAGTTATATTTTACGAGTTGTTCACGGACTGATATCAGTTGGAGAACCATTGAAAACCAGGGAGTACTGGACAGCTGCTGTTTCATCATAGTTTAGGAATCATCGGCAGTACGCTTTCACTGGGATTCAAACACAGGACCTTCCGGTTACAAGGCACGCTCGTATACCATTCAGCCACTGGGACCCGATTCAATGGCTCATGAATTCTAACTTCTACCAATTCGTGATTTGCACTCATATATAGAGTTCATTATTTTTGCTCATTCGTTTTTTTTTGTATTTAAGTTATATTTCACGTTCATTCATGTGTTTGTATTCAGAATTATATTCCAAGTTGTTGACAGTTGTACTGAGTCACCCTTGTTACATGTATCCGGTGTGACCTTAATGAATATCGATTCTGTTATAAGTCTTTCTTTCCATTTGTTCATGTCAGTTTTTAGAATACACACATTGTCCCAATCGATATTGTGGTTTTTGTCCCACGCTGCATGTGCAGCTATCAATGGATTTTTCTCAAGATTTTTGTAGGCTTGTGTTCCTGTTGGTTGACCTTTGGTTAGGCGTTTATGTTCATTCACTCTTATTTTGAGTGATCTGGATGTTTGCCCCACATATTTAGTCGGAGAGTCAGCACAAGATATTTTATAAATCAAGTTGTTTTTATCCATCATTTTTATGGGATCTTTCAGTTGATTTATTTTATTTTTGATTAGATTTGTCGGTTTAAAAGTTGTGTGAATGCCGATACTTTTGAGGTTTCTTTGAATTGCCTCTGATGTACCATTTTTATATGGTATTGTGACTGCCTTTTTGCATTCTTCCATCTTGTTATTCTCCGGTTTTACCCTCTTTTTTCTCTTTTTTATATTATCTTTTATAAATTGTTTTGGGTAGTTGTTTTCGAGTAGCATCTTGAATAGGACTTTTATTTCTTTACACTGGTCCTCTGGCGTTGTTGTAAGTCTACGTATTCTATCTGCAAGACCTTGTATTAATCCTCGTTTCACCGTGAGTGGATGAGCTGAGTGATAATCGAGGAATCTTCCAGAGTGTGTGGTTTTTCTATATAGCGTCGTTTTAATGCTGCCATCTGTTATTCTTTGTATTTTGCAATCTAACATAGGCAGTTCCCCAATTTCATTCTCTACTTCCATAGTGAATTTTATTGAGTCGATATGGCTGTTTATGTGTGAGAAGAGTTTCTCAATATCGTTTTTTTTCACTATTGAGAAACTCTTCTCATTTAGAAATGCATATTTTCCATCGAGCTTACTTCTTGTAGAAATTAATATGATCTAATCAGAAACATTGGTTTAATGCAACGTTCACTGAGTGCTGCATACACACAATATAACTGAGATGATTGTTTGAAAGTGTCATTATTCTCTAAACAACTGATTAGTAGTAGTATAAGTGAAGTGTGAAATCCCCTTTTCTGCTAGGAGACTCCACAAGTTTGCAAATTGAGTGTGTTTGTATCACTCTCATATGTGTAGATTTGTGAAATTATTCCGTTGTATTAGTGTAGCGTTAGTCAAGATTTAGTCTAGCAGTAGGATATGAACTAAGATTTTATGCCATTCACTCGACAGAGGTCATGTATTGTTATCTTCGAATCCATATGACATTGTTTCTGCTGTCCTCTTCAGCTGGGTCCACGGTTGTCCATAATCTCTCATCTCCTCCTTACGCTATCTCCTCTATGTCATCCTAGGACGACCCACTAGAGAGATGGTCTGGCGTGCGATGTCACCCAACAGTCTGCTCGGCGTATTCCCAGTCCATCTCCATTTTCTCCTACATATTTGTTGAGCTATCGGCTCTTGGTTGGTTTGTTGCCAGAGTTTCTTGTTGCCAATTCTTTATGACCGGCCATATGAGCGAAGGTGGCAGCTGTTGATAAAAGTCTGCTACTTGTTGGACATCCTGTTCGTGACGCATTTGCGAAGGTTCTGACCCACTTACAAAGAAGTGACTGCACATTTGTGTTGCAAATCCGAATCTTGTTGTTTATTCTGAGTGCAGAAGATTTCTAAACTAGTTTCATCATCATTCATCTAACTCGTCGGAACTTTCGGTCGACACTGTCCCAACCAGAACTTCTATCCTCAATGTCTTTGTTACTCAACCTCTAGAGGAAGCTGAAATTCTCAAATACTGAAGCAAAAGTATTGTAGTTTCTTTTGAAGAAGAAATGATTCCACATAGTGACACTTCTGTGTTACTCTATATCTCTCTGGACGAATACGACACGGTACATTTACGGTAGGAAGAGAGAGTCTTCGCGAATGATTTGGAGAATGTGAGCAGTGTTGAGTGGAAAGGACATCAGTCTCGGTGTCTTTTCGTGTTCTTTCGGTGTTACTGTCCACAATGTGATTGTCCCTACTGTGAAGGTGATTTATTTGGTAATTGAGTATAACACGAACTGTATTTCAGAATGAGTAAGTAGGCGTTTTCCGCCTTTAAATTTATTGTTGTTTGATTGTGTTTGGTGGTGAGTCACTGGGGTTACACAAGATGAAATTAATTCACCTCAGCTGTTATTATGTGTATCTTGTTACTCGAAGATGACATTATGCAGGAGAACTAAGATAATGGTTGTCATACTACCTGCGACTCATATTCGCAGGATCTAAGACCTGTATCGAATTGTCAAGGCTGCTAAATTCAAGTGAAGTCAGTTTTTGTAATCCATCCCACAAATTCTATCACTGCTATTTGATCGCACTGCACGTTTTCATTCTGTTTGATTTGCCTTGATAATTAGATCATCGATTTCAGTGTAGTGAATGTGGAAAGCTCTTCTCCTGTGCTGGAAGTTTGAAGACTCACACCCAATCTGTTCATGAAGGTGAGTTTGTTGTTCTTTGTGTTTATTTTTTGTCACTGTTTCGATGATGTATTTTGCGTTGTAATAGTGGCTGATGGACTTGGTGACTAACAGAAACTGTGGTGCTGCCTTTTATATGAAATATGTTTAGTGTCAATGTGCTTGGGGAATATGTGAAAAATTTGTCTTGTTGGAAACCTGAACGTGCACCACTTCGAATCACATGGTTTTATGGCTGAGTGGAAATTTTCTGTTAAAAAATGTTATCGAGGATTCCGACCGCACAATATCGTACTGTTTCCTATCAGAGTGAAGTTAATAAGTATCTATCTATATTGTGCTTATTTCCTATTCTCAATTCAACACGTTCGGTAGGATTTAATTGAAAAAAATCTGGTCATAGTGTGTGTTTCATGCCTCAAATTTCGCTGATGACGTTTATTTAACATTGAGAGTATGTTGGAAATGAAATTTTCGATTGACATGGGATTTGTGGCTTCGAATGTGTGGTCTTTGTTTGCGGATAGATGAAATGGTGATATTCTTTATCAACTGGTTATTTATCTGTGTTTAAGAGAATATTTTAAATTTGACAGTCTGCAGATATAATGCAAGTTCTAATGAGATATCATTCCATCCTGAAAATCTTTATTTCTAATCAGAATCTGCATTGTATTCTAGATTGAGTCGAACATAGATTTTCAGTAGCCGATCTCCATGTCACTGTTCCCTGCAGTCTTCGGTGGCTGGCTCCACAATTGCTTGTCAATCTTGACTTTATTGTCAAACGACCTCCTCAATGTCACCATCGGGACCACGTCGAAGTCGTCGCTTCCTATTTGTGTCTCACTCGAGGGTGTATCAGGTGAAATCCTCCGTCAATCTACTCATCCTGTGTGTCTTATGCATCTCTGTTTCCTTGTGAATATTTGTTAGACGATTGGTTCTCTCCCAGAATTCCTTATTTCCACTCCTTTCTGGCTGGCCATTTGATCTTCACTGTCAAATTAATGGGGCAGCAATTGATGTAAGTTTGCAGTAAGTAGCATGTTGGAAATTCTTTTGAAACTGCTTGCACTATGTCTATGAACCATATAAAAGCACTGATTAATTTAGGATTAGTGTTGAGAATTCGATTCTTCCCTGTGGTGAGTTCTGTAGATCTCTACATCGACTTCTGACCTTACTAATCGTGGCTACTCATCTGTTCCGCCTCCTGTAGTTGAAATGATGCGTCCTATCTCGGTGAGCGAAGGAGATGACCTCCTGTAGATTTCCTCCTTTGATGGTGGCTGTCATTTGTTGTTGTTGATGTTCGGGTATTTTCCTCACTTCTGCCCTCTATGTTCACCTGCGTCACATCGTTGCTGCTTCTCCTGCCAACTTACTGGTTTTCTGTTGTATATCTTCGAGTTTGTGAGACAAGACAATAATCATCCTCGATATGCAAAACTCTGGCGGTCCAACTTATGGTCGTCCTCTCACATCCCACAGCTTGTTATATAATCTAATCCACCGTAATTTTTATTGTCACTGACGATATGAAATATCTGTCTTACTCGTGACTTCACAAGGAGGCTTTAGTAAGCTTACTGTTGTGGATCATTATGCAAACAGCTAGCGGGAACGTAAAGAAGATGTGTTGACCATATTATTATTTCTTTAGCATAAAGCGAATTAACTGCTAATTGCGTATTACACAAAATATGTTTCGGAATGTGTCGAGAAATGAATTTGGTTCGACAAGGTTGACAACTGAGATAACAGGATAAAATTTGGTTTACATTAGTCTGTAATGTGTGTATGTTGTGGTGTAAAAGTACCTCGGGGAATGCAAATGTATGCAGGTTATTATGTTATATGTGGAAAATGGAGTTCAAAGTGTACAATAATTTGTTCAGACTGGTAATGCTCAGTGACGTTGGTTGTTCTCACGGCGAAAATTGAATTGTACAATTAAGACAAGAGGTGCAAAGTTCATGATATTAGTTAATCAGTTGAGTAGTAGCATGGCGTGTTGAAGTCAAGTGGTAGACACATAAAACAAACAAACAAACAAAATTACTTTGAAGCGAGAATGGGTGCGGGCAAGGCCAAAAAATGAGGGGAAGACATTAGACATGGGGTTAGCAGGACAAGGAAAGACTGATGGGTGAACACAAAAATCAGCTCTTAACCGTTTAATAGCGAATTCTTCAGGAAATTTGAGGAGAATGGAGTCATAATGTCTATCAAATGTTTAAAAGGATTTCATATTGTCTATCTCATTACTCATATGAACAATATGTTTAGCAATTGCACTATTCAAAGTATTTCTTCACTTGTGTCGTAAGCTGATTGGTACATGTTCAAAGAATCCAAGATATGTCCTTCTTTCTGATCTCCTCGTATTACTGCTGCTGTGAACACATAAATTTGTATACCTAATTACAGTTAACATGAGTAGAGTATCTATCAACCTTTGATTGCATACAGGAGTATGTCGTCAGTTAAATGAGAACCAACTTTGTTGCAGGATAGCTTCTAGTTAGAGATGTACTTGTCTCTAAAGCCTGGAGGTTTTATCAGATGTTAACCGTTCATTATGGTCACATATCATGCCTCAGTGTTATTGTGCTTGTCACCCTGAGTTTTGTTCTCTGCAGTCACTCTTTCTGTCAAGTTAGTGGGAACTTTTGGAGTAATTTCTTCACTCTTATGTTGGGAGGCTGGTTTTAGAAGAGTAGGATTAAGTTTAGCATTTTTAGTTTCCGTAGAAATTTGAGTTGTCTTGTCATCTGCCTCCTCTTTCTCGTCGTCATCACTATCGTAGTTAACGTATTCTTCTTGACCATCGCCTCCGTTAACGTGAACATCATCTATCTCTCCATCATCTAGCTCACTATCGACTACTTCATCGTATTTGTCATTCTTCATTGTCATCGTTCTCATAGGACATGTCGCCTTCCTGAATGCCTCATCCACATTCTCCTCGTTCACAACATGATCCGTAGATATCTTCATTGAGCGTCTGTCAATCATATTTTCTCAGTATGAAAATTGATAACTAAAGCTACCCAAACGGACTCGTGTTCGGAACTCAGGAAACCTATTTCTGCGTCCTTCTTTATGCGTGAATAAAATCCTTTGGGACGCACACAGTCACACAACGCTCCAAGAACAGCGAAAATTCTATTATTCGTATTTCACTCTTTTCAAAAAAAATAATGATACGAAGGACTCAAAATCGCCTCACCTGTGCCTGGACTTCAGTAACTTCGTCACATTTAGAACTTCTGCTTTTGTCGGAGGATTGGTGTGCACTGGTAGGCAGTTCCGTGCGTCTGTTGGTGTTAGTGGTGTTTTCGGGCGATTTGCAGGTGCTGGTCAATTCAAGAGTCCTTTAAAGTAATCAGCCCACTGTGTGTTTTTTTTCTTCTCCCTGGTAATGGAGTCGCATTGAACATCTTTTTTAGTCGTCGTCATCTTGGTCGGTTTCTTCCCGGATGGCGGTAGACTTGGTTATCTGATATAATATTCTGAGGTGTCTTCTGCCTGCGGCCTGCCTGTTCTGCTTCAGTTGCCTTCCGGTGTGTCGTAGAATTGTCTTTTGTCTTTCCTCGAACTCTTCTTCACTTCTTTATTCAATGCAGTGTACATTAAACTCAACTCCTCCTGTTGTCCATCTTTGTATTCAGTCAACTCCTCTTTCACTATTGTCCTCTCCACGATTAGCTTGCAGGTATCCGTTGAGAGTCATTCTTTGTCTTGCCTCCTCTTTCTTTCAAAAATAGCTTAAGATGTTTTCTTAGTTATCACTTTCAGAGACTTGCAGTTTTCCCACAAAACTTTCTTGAATGATTATCTACTACAACTTAGCTCCAGTGAAGGTGTCCTTTGTAGTTTCGTACTTCCCTTTTTGAGTGTTGAACTTGAATTGTAGTCTGTCTATGGTTCCTTAGAAGGCTTTCAGCTTGACCTTGATGGTCCTTTTAACTAGTTATTGGTTTGAGTACACATGTTCTCCTATTCCCGAGGTTTTCAAAGCAGTTTAGAATAATTCTTTTCTTCATATTTTGTTCAATAGGATACGTAACTGGATCATAGAAATTGTTATTAATATTGTAGTCAATTATTTATGTGAATAGAATCCATGTCTTCGTTATAGTTCAATCGTATAAAATCTACAGAACTGTGATTAATGTGAAGATGAATCGTGACTAATAAGTCACCGGGCACTCCAAAGACAGCGAAAACATGATTATTCTTGGTTAAATGTGTGTTTGCTTCCATTCAACAACGATAACATCAAGAACTGAAAATTACCTGAACAATGGTGATAAGCAGCTATGCAGTGAAGATAATTTTCTAAGTAGAAAACAAGTGCCGTAGAACGAAATGAGTTGACCGAAATTCAAGCGTAAGAAGTACCTTAAAATGAAGCAGAATGTTGCCACTAAGGTGAGGTCGAGAACTGTGTCCACAAGAAACACGCACCGACAGTCTCACCAGATAATCCAAGATCAGAATAGCCCACATTCACGCCAACAAGATCACATCGTCAAGCAATAGATTATCAATGTATTGGACAACCACAAACAGATGCATTAAAATTTGAGTTTGAACAGGGAAAAGAGAAATGGTAAGGGTCATTTCGACGTATGATATTCCAACTTCAGAACACCGACATATGTTGTCATTCGATTGTTCAGGATGGAATTTCGGAACAATCTTTCTGTTACACCGACCACTCAAATCGCTGTAAATAATTTAATGTGTAGTGGAATAGGATGTGATTCCTATAGGCGTCTTACCAGTTTTATTATTACTGAAGGGATTATCATAACAAAACCATACTCCTCTCAGTTAACTCAACAGACTCCCAGTGACTATACTAACTTTTCCCCTTTTCGTATTTCATATCCATGATTAGGTAAAAGATACCAATGTGACGTATGTGGAAAAGATTCCACTACAGCTGGCAGTTTGAAGAGACACATGGAGTCAGTCCATGGAGGTGAGTTTGTTGTTTTAAGTGTTTATTTTGTGCAAGAGTTTCATGTTGACTTGATGAATTTCACCTTTCACTACTATGTCACATACACGACCGATGTGGTTTCACCCTTTCCATTTCAAGAGGTTGGTGCAGGTGTAGCGTGTAAGTGTTCTGCCTACGATTCGGTAATTTTGCAAGAATTTCTTTTCTGAAATGCATTTCTGAGAATCGGCTTCCACGATTTTATTCGTTGATGATTAGCATGGCTGGGATTGCAGGATATATCGTATGAGTTCAGTCACCGGTATTTTCGTGTAGTTTGTTCTTGTAAATTCACCTCCTTGGTTAGTGGCCGTATGTTGTGTAACTCACTAACCCACCGTTTCGACTACATTTCTTTTAATTTTGCCAATGCTATCTGTGATTGTGCCATTTATATCGTCGACAAATGATGAATAAATGTGAATGACTGTATTATGTCGGTCGTGAAGTGAAATAATGTAATGCTGTTTGCTGTTTAACTTGATGGACTTTAACACTTCATTGAGGACACCATTCAGAGGAAACGATGAGAACTCCATCATTTATTTGAATGTCTTCACTTCCAAACAATTTGAGTATTGAAGAATAGAAATGTAAATATTAAATAGTAGTTATAGTAATACAGCTTTATCTCAGATCATATATAAACATATAGTAGAGAAATGCTCGGCGTATTAAGTTCCGAAATATTTCAGCTGAGTTGAGGATTAACTTACAAAGTAATAATCTTAAGTATATTATGTGACGCAATCTTGATGCATATGAAGAGATAACCAGTTTTGTACATTTTGTCTTCATTTACTTCACGAATTGCGAAGCGTTCAGTTGGAAGTTGATTGAATGAACGCACAAATTCATGTAGTAGTCACCTGATATAATTGCACTAAGAAATACAGAAGAGATTAGGCATTCTGATACATGGAATGTCTGGTAGCCTAGTGATTAAATCAGGCTGCCGTTTGATTGAAAGAATCAAATTTATACTTGCGTTGTCTTCTTTATGTGATCAGTGTTGTTGTTTAGGCAGTGGAGTCACTTTTGGAGTAGAGTATCAGAACAAATACCGCCTTCACTTTAGTTGTTTCAATCAAAAATGCATACTCTTATCTTCACCACTACAGGTTAGTATACGCATTTCTTTTGTCTCATACTAATCGGCCAAGTGTCGTCAGTTGATACATGCAATACTAATACATGCGTTTAGATGGATGGTTCATGAAAACAAATACTTTTGACCCTGTCGCTTAATTCTGTCAGAAAAGGATTATAGATTTTAAGTCGACGGTGTGGACACACTCGAGTCATATTTTAGGTGGAGTAATGGCGAAATAGATGTGGCTAGTCGTATTTACACACTTTTGTGTGAACGGTTTAAAACAGAGCATCTCAGAGAGAATTCACTACATCTGTTGATACTCCATGTTTCATAGTGTGCCAACCAGTCGATTGGGCACGCACCTACAAGGGTGTTTGTAAATCAGTGTGTGAAGAAAAGATGTAAATGAGAGGGATTAATAATTTTTCCCAAATTCCACTTCACTTGAAAATGTCAGGGAACGTAGGATGAAATTTTCAAGAGAAATTCTATAAGTAATATTACTCACTTGGCGTTTCATGCTGTGTCCAAACGCAGTCCATCTCGGAGGAGATAGGACAAACCATCGATTTAAGTGTTTTCGTCCTCATTTCCAGCTCGATTACGGTCGGCCATATAATTAAGTCATTGAGATGAATTCACAGAATTCAAGTGGATGTAAATGATTGGAATCCGAAACTCTGAAATGCTGAAGCAAATGTGTTGCACGTGTTGTTGTATAGCCGATGACTGCACATCTGGACATTCCTGTATTTCATTATTAGGTGATAAGTATGTGGTACATTTGGAGGGACTGAGTGTGTTTTAGAACGGTGTGAACATTGTGAGTAGGGATAAATCAAAACGAGATTAGTTCCGGTGTCATTTAGCGTATGATCACAGCGAAAGTTGATAACAACTGTGAAGGTGAATTGTTTTCTGATTTGGTATAGCACAAAATGTGTTTCAGAGTCAATCAATAAGTGATGGTACGATCAGTTTCTCGAGGGAAATTGTGGTGGTGTGATACAGACAATGTGTTCTCCTGGAATATTATTCTGAGGTATTCCCACAGTTCAATACTGCATTCAATATATCTATTTGAACATTCGATTTGATATTTTTTTGACCAATCACTGAGCGTGTGATTTTGGTTCACATCAAACAACATGAAACAGAATGTTCAAATATACATAGCAGTCTTTTGTTAATGCAGTATACAACCGTGTGGAAAGTATTCGATAGACTACACCGTAGGATGAAAGTTGTGATGACATAATGACTAACATGTAAATTCAGACTAAATAATCCTTAGAGTGAATACTGTAACGTACTAATCTCCGGTGACAGATGACACGGGTGAGAATGGAATTTTGAGTTGCTCTCTTCTAGGTGGGAGAACGTGAGCTGTCAAATGCACATGTAAGTTTTCAACGACAGTGTCACGTATTGAAAATTGTCTCAAGAACTCTCTCCACTATTTTGATCAGATCAAGTCATTCAATGTTACCTGTCAGATTCAAGTCTATTCGTAGATGTCGAACTTGTGTATGATTGTTTTTCCCTACATGTTTAAGTTTGTAGTGTTTTGCTTCAAGGAATCCTTTGATCAGCAAACATAGATCTTGATGTGAGTTTCCATCGAAACTGTGTGTAGTAGTGTGAAAGAACTCTCGACGAATCATACTGAGGTCAAGGATAATTAGGGCAAACAGTTGTTCGCCATAAATCGTTCGTCAGTATCTATGATTTTGATTGCATTAATTGCAACATACAGCTGGTGGTAAAATTAGTTTGGAATTATGCTGATAAGGGAATTGTGGTTGAAATATCGGATCAGAAACAAGCGGATCAAGCAGTTACAGTTAGTCAGAAAGAGAAAACGAATTTACATACAGCTGACTGCTCTACGTTCTTATTTGGACAGCTGTGCTTGTGGGTATTCATGATCGTATCTAGGCAATGTCTAGCAAGTAAGGCCTGTGTGTGTGCACTGAACTTCAAAGGAGCAATGGGATTTGTAATAATACATTAAACTTACCAACGGTGACATCTCGTGTTTGATGTTTTGGTTAACAAGGCGAGAGCTGAGAAGTTGTTTGAAAGCAGTCTCCTCAATTCACTTCTGTCCAGGAGACTGATTGTAGACTGATTCAGTCCACTTACGTCTGATAAGAATGTGGATACCTCGCAGATAAGTTATCATTTCATTATTAAGAGTCTCAAATGTCCCTGACTGTTCATTAGACTGGAGTCTATCACGTATGCCAGATTCGTTGGAATTATTTTGATCTAAATGAAAGAAAGTGCTAGTTAAGGAAAGCATGGTGAAATTACCACGAGATATACCTATTGAAACAGGATTTTACATAAAGCTGACTGGTGAGGTGAAAGTGCATATCTTAGTGTCAATTGACAACAGCAGACGTTTCATCAAATTTCGAAAGCTGTCTGTTCCTGATTGGGAAACTCACAAGTGTTACCGATAAGGTGAAGTGAACACAGAGCCATGAGCTGTGCTAAGCGTTTCAGGATTCTTCCAGTGGAAGAATTTAAGTAGTCTGTTTACATGCCTTCTCTCAGTGTAGCAATCACAACCGGTGTGTTGTAGTCTAGACATAGGAAGCCCATCTCTGTGTTTTACTGTACAGCTTAAAATATCTCCTTGAGACAGTAACAGTCACCGAGCTCTCCAAAGACAGCGAAAACATGATTATTCTTGGTTAAATGTATGTTTGGTTCCACTCAACAATGATACCGCCAAGACCTCAAAATTGCCTGAACAGTGCCGTTAAGCAGCTATGCAGTGAAGATAATTTTCTAAGTAGAAAACAAGTGCTGTAGAACGAAATGAGTTGACCGAAATTCAAGCGTAAGAAGTACCTTAAAATGAAGCAGAATGTTGCCACTAAGGTGAGGTCGAGAACTGTGTCCACAAGAAACACGCACCGACAGTCTCACCAGATAATCCAAGATCAGAATAGCCCACATTCACGCCAACAAGATCACATCGTCAAGCAATAGATTATCAATGTATTGGACAACCACAAACAGATGCATTAAAATTTGAGTTTGAACAGGGAAAAGAGAAATGGTAAGGGTCATTTCGACGTATGATATTCCAACTTCAGAACACCGACATATGTTGTCATTCGATTGTTCAGGATGGAATTTCGGAACAATCTTTCTGTTACACCGACCACTCAAGTCGCTTCGTACACCTTAAGACAACTTTTCAAGTATTCTGTCGTGTCTATGTCTCTTACTTCTGGTGTCCAGGACTTACAACAAAACGCCTGCATAACCTCATCTTAACCTAAATGAAGAAGGCGATGTCTTTTTACACGCCTTTTACGACATCTTTCCTACTCTGAAGAACAAAATCCACAGGAAGTTTCGCGAGGTCTACTGGCAATAAGAGAACACGTATAATTGGCTCTTGTTTAGTGGAATTGGATTACACGTATTGTAAGCTGACTATACCCAAGCATGGAGGATCCACCTAAATAAACTGGTGTCAAGCATTGGAGCAGTTAAGCGAAGACAAGCTGTCTAACCAGTGAGATCATCAGGTGATGCAGATAGTTGCAAGTAAACGTGAAGTTCTCTCACGTGACGAGAGCATATTATCATTTACAAACTGCGAACTATCGACAGCTAGTATATGTTGATGCTGTTCAACAGATATATGCGGTATAGGTTATTGATCAGATTTCATATCAGATTTTTGAATTTCAGAATTTAATTTCTTCATAATATGTCTATACTTCAAGTATAATGGTTCTAATAAAGCTACATGACAACTGATTAGACTAAGATTGAAATGCTTAGTGAATATCGGCCAAAGATAACAAACCGGATCATTCCAACTTGACATTTTATCCGAAGTGAGATATTCCTGTGT